TGTTATTTCTTGATGAATGAGAATTATGTTTGGTTAAATAAGTTCCGCGTTCTATTATTTTGCATGTAGATAAGTGGGTCGTCATCGGGCATACCGAAGATCACTATATCAGTTACTTGCGAAACAAGAATCATTGGTTCACAACCTAGATGGAATTGAACAACCCATCGGAACGGTTGTAGTGTCAACCGTACGGCTTGTCTTGACCGATTAGTTGCACTAGTACATTTATGTATTGAACAAGATCCCAGAGAGGGATGTTCGTTTTATACTGATCGTCGTAAACGAACTAGGCCTCAGTTAATTATTGCGTGCTCTTAACCCATAAGATATTAAATAGGCATGGGCACATAATTGTTGTTGCTTTGATTCTTTGGGTGAGATCCAAGCCGGGTCGACATACTTAATGAATTGGGTAATGACATTATGTGTTCGATGTGCTATTAGGATATTTACGGTCACCATGTGCATTAGTATGATGATGTCCCCGAAGTGAGTTCATGAAGGAATATTATGCTAAACCCTGCAGGTGGATTTATTCCGGCATAATATGAATGCTATGTGCGAACGCTAGCTTCGGTAATATAATATATTAATTAATTCTTGATTATTGGTGATCGAATTAATTAATTGACATTATATCTTAAACATGGGGAGGTAAATCGGATAATTATAATAAGGAGTCTCAAATGTAATTTGGGATAGGTGAGGGGAGTGCAATAATATTATTGTGGTGGACTTTAATATTATTAATATATTTATTGTGGGGTTGCTCCACAGTATTAATATATTAGAAGCCCTTATCCTATTCTCCTTAGGGTCCCTACTGTAGCTCTATATATACACCATTAGGCTTATGGAAGAAGAAAACAATCCCACAACCTTGGGAAACACGTCCAGCCCTCTCTCTCTCTCTTCCAAGGAGTAGTTCTATTTCTTGTGCTCCACTGATACAAGATCTAGATAGTTGTTTGAGAATACAGTAGAAGATCTTAAGGTATATACGGGATTCCAATCAGATCTATCATACATCCAAACCAGAGACCAAAACCAGCAAGTGACCATACCACGACGACCAGGACGACGAGTCGAAGAGATCGCCGTCGAGATCGCAGCCATCTGCCGCCGCACGCGCCGTCACGCGCCGCTGGAAGGAAGCAGTTGCTGGGACTTACACGCGCGCGTGAGAGCGCGTGAGACCTTCGTTTTCCAATCGGTCAACGCCGTTGACTTCGCCATGACGTCAGTTTTCTGGATTGGTCAAGTTTGTTCGATTCCGAGAAGATTTGATTTGCGGTCATCTGTTCGGGCCAGCAAGATTTACATAAATTTTAAGCCGTAAGTTCTCTACATCAAACCTTTAGATCCGCTGCGCATAGGTTTATGTTGAATGTTTGTCCGTGATTTGTGCATATCGAGATCCTCATGGGTTCCAACACTGTCGTGTACCGTTCACGGGAAAAATCACACGGGAGGAGTCGAGGGACGACTAGAACAGGGCTGCCGGTGCACATACGGTCTGCTGGAAAGCGGCTCTCGATGATGAACGAGCTGCTGCTCGAACCTCAGGGCGTGGGCTGCTCATGAACAGAGGGTGATGTTCGAGGGCTCACGAGCAAAAAACCGGGACTCGCGATGAGGTTGGGCTCACCAAGACCTGTGTGCGGGACCAAGCTCGCGACATATAACGATCGTGGCCGACCTCATTGCGACGACAACAAGCAGCAGCGGACCCGCGAGAATGGTGTGCGGACGTCCTTCGTAGCGACAGGTGGCAGTGAACGGGACATGAACGACGGACATAGGTGCTGAGACGGGGGTTCTTGCCGGGAATCGTCGGGGGAGGTGCTCTGCTCGCGGTTGCAGATATCACGAACGGCTGATCGGCGGGGAGGAGGTGGGTGTTCGTCGCTGGTGCTCACGGTGGCTTTGAACGGCGGCCAAAGGTGGTGTGCTGTAGCGAAATGGGCTCGCCGGCTGTAAGATCGTGGCTTTAAACGTGTTGTGATCTGGTTGCTACTTGCCAAAAACTCGTGACTGGGAGACTCGCCGAAGATGGAAGCTAAAGGGGTGATGGTGAGAGCGAGAAATTTCTCTTGCCTAGTACGACCGAGTGAAAGAGATTGATGGCTGTGTTATGAGATGGTGGCAGATTCTTCTTTCTCTGCTGCGTCGGGCGAGAAAGGGTAGGGGAGAGAGATGAGGGTCGTGTGCAGAAAGTAAAAAAAAAGTTGTGGGAATTTGCAAGAGAAGAGAAAGGAGATTGAATTAGGGTAAAAATATCTTGTCCTCCAAGCTAAAAGAAAAGCGGGTCGCGGGCGGTTCGAGTCGTACGGGCCAGTTTTGCCTACCGGTTTCTCGGGCTCGATTTATATATGTCGATATTCATACAACACTTGGAAAAATAAAATGCGACGACCCAAAAATTAAATAAAATACAACATCCGAAAAAAATTAATAATTAATTCGGCAATATATATTTATTATGCACACAATAATAAATATATTACTAAGCAAATATTTCACGTTGGTAATCAAATAAAATAAAATAATAATAATGCCAATATAATAATATTCAAAAATAAATCCAATAATCAAACGGGTTAAATCCAAACTACGCGATTAAACCGAAATTGCCGAACAACGAGCGATTTAAAATAAAACGATCGAGTACTCCAACTTTTTATTTAAGCCGACATCGCGACTAATAAAATAAATATAATCACCTAAATAATATTCGATAAATAGAATATTGAGAAATTCAATAAATCGAACGGGGCGTTACACTCTCAATATTTATTTGATTCCAAACATCATGCTTTATTTTCTAAAGTATATTATTTGAGTGAAAAAATATAAAGCTGTTAAAAAAAGGAAGATACTACGATCCCGTTACGGAACCATTCCATTGGGGTGTGTAACCGTTTGATCAATTATCTCTGACGGTTACATGATGATATGACGATTACAAACACGATGAAATGGTTCCATAACGGGACCTTAGCATTTTCCAAAAAGTATCTAACAATTGAGTCTATTTGCACCTAACATGATTCAATTGGACTGATTATACAGTGGATGCACCTCTTACACTGTCATTCTCAACGTACTTGTCCTTGGCTGTGGTGTATGGGAGTGTCATATTATACTGCTGCCAAAAATTGTTGGTAAAATACGTGTTTTTTCACCGGTATTCGTTCGAACTGCAAGGGTCTTGCACATTGGATTGGGAAAGACGGAAAAAGTATTGCTTAGTAGAATATCTTTTATATTGGTACTCCACTTCTGGGATCAGACCAAGCCAGCAAGCGAGTATTCTGATTGGTCCAGGAGTTGGGCGCTGGGAATTCCATTTCCTGCTTGTAGATTTTTAAATAACTAACCATAACATTGTTGCATATACTTACGGTTTAAACAATGTTGAAATATAGGTTTCTTGGTATTGGTATGTTCTCCTTGCGCTAGTTGAAGTCCACGGCAACTATTTCGGTAATCTTACCTTTGATAATCGTAATTTGATGCAGTAATTATTAAAATTGGATAAGATGTTGATATTAACTTATTTTACTGCAGTTAACAAAGCATTCCAATTCACGTCGATCACAAGTGTGGCGATCCTCGATTGTTGGACGATAACTTGGGCAATTATTCTCACGTGGATTTTCTTGGGCACGAAATATTCTGCTTGGCAATTTTTTGGTGCAGCAGTTTGCTTGACGGGCCTTTGCCTCGTTCTTCTTTCTTATGCTCGTTCGAGTGGTGGTGGTGGTGGAGGTGAAATTTAAACGTCCCTTTTTTTTGTGCAGACAAATTTTTGAAATTACTAATATTCCCTTTGTTTTAAGTTAGTGATTTATGGAGATCGTTTGTTATAACCAAACTTAGTTAGCTCACATTTCAGGTGGTTCGGTTCGAATCCTCTGTTGGGCGATTTTCTCGTATAACATGCATGATATTGTTTGCAATGAGCAATGTTGGTGAGGTTGGTTTATAAGATAACATATATTCGTTAGGCTACGAAGTTAAAGAGTTTGTTGTTTTACAAATGTTTCCTTCCTTTTTGATCGATATATACAGGAATTTTGCGCGAAGAAGAATGATCTAACTGAAGTAATAGCAATGATTGGTCTGTTTAGTATGCTCGTTAGTGCATCCGAGATGTATCCTTTTCAAACTATATTCACAAACATCATCCATAAGCTTTCTACATTTTTTTTTAAAAGAAATCGATAATTTATGTTGTTTAATTCCTTAACTTTGTACTTAGTCCTGTCCTGGAGAGGAAGGCCCTGATGTCGAATAATTGGTCTGCTGGACTTAGTAAGTAGAAAAACAAAATGGTGCAGTAAATTAAGAGCTGTCGTAATTTAGAATTCAATCGTGCAAAAAGAATGCTCATTGTTCGATTTCTAAAAATGTAATGTTCCTTTTATCACCATTTTTTGTTTTCGTTCTTTTTTCCGTGTTGGTTTTCAGGTATCAGCATATGCTGGTTACGCAATGTCGAGCTTTCTCTTCTACACGCTCGCTCCTTTAGTTCTCAAGGCTAGTTCCAATGTTCATTATACATATCATGCATCAAATAATAAATATCATGGAAACTAAAAGAACTACAAAATCGAACCCATCTCCTTTAAAACATCCTCTATAGTCCATCATGCTTTAAGATGGATTATGTTTTATAAAGATAAGCGGAGCCACACTGTTCAATCTTTCTCTTCTAACATCCGACATTTGGGCAGTTGTAGTTAGAACATTCATCTACAAGCAGAAGGCAAGGCGCGACTTTCTTTCCTTTTATTATTACTAGTAAAGTGCACGTGCATCGCACATAGTGATAGATGTTTTTTGCCGATCGAAATCAATAAAATAAAATAATTAATTTATAAAACATATAATTGCAGGAATGAAGTAAAATATATGATAAATGAGCTTCTAATGTTTTTTATAATAACAATACGATGTCATAATATAAAAGAGAATGAAATAACATATTACAACTCCAACAAAAATATAGTCTCTAATGGAAAAAATACTAAATAACTAAATAAGGACCTCATTTATATTATAGATGCATTAGTTATTTTATTTAATTATGTTAGATGATTAAAGAGTAATTTTTTCATTTTGGTTTTGACGTTTTCATAAGAAACATTCATGCTCGTTGGAGCCTAGTACATCAATAGTACTAAAAATTCTTCTAAATTCATTTGACAAAATGTCCTCATTATTCAATCACTTATAAATATTCTGGCTAAACATATAGTCAAACTTCATGGTTGTATGATCTTATAAGATATTCAATCACCGACTTCTCTGAAAGAAATTTTATCATGCTCTGAATGATTTTTTTCAATGTTATTTATTTGGAAGGCAAACGAACTATATAGCCTATTGTTTGCAAATCATTGACCATCTTGGTTGTTGCAATGATTTTAGCATTTTTTATCATAATACCTTTCGCATTCTATTGAATTTGCAGTACTTATGTGCCTCATAACATCTTTAATGTTTTTATTGTCCTTTTTTTTTATCATCATACATAATGCTTCGAAAATTCAAGATAAAAATCTTTTCTTGGAAAAACAAAAACAAAAAAAATAAAAAAACAATGAGACAATATTAAGAAACATATCATTTGTTAATATATATAAGATAAGAATTAAAATTATTTTATATTACGATACTCTTAGTCGCTCTGTGGATTTTATTATTACGAAGTTATTATTAAAATTTACGTTATGTATTATAAAGTTTTTATTTTATTTTTTAATTCTTGATAATGTAGGATCATATTTATGAGACTTAATTTCTTATAATGTTCATATATTTAGACGCTAGCAAAAAAAAAGTAGTAATTTTAAAAGACTTTTGTTTCTAGATAGTACTAGTATTCATATTTCTCTAAGAAAATACATACTTTTTCTTTTATTATTGAATTACTATCGTTGTATTTGTTTCTTATTCTATTTATAAATAATATTTATTTATTTAAAGAATTAGATCACATTTATATGTATTGCGTCATTTTTTTTTACATACTTTATATAATGACATTGCAATAAAATATCTTATTTATTAGGCTACAACTAATATAATCATATAAGATAAATATTATTTAATATTAATTAATTATTTCTAATAATAATATATTTGACAAAAATTTACTTTTATACTAGTTATAAATTAAAAAGTTTATGATTTCTTTCATTGTTTGATAAAATATTAAGTAATTACCTTATTTTCGTATTCATTAAAAATATATGTTATATTTTACAACAATTATGGTGTTTCTTTCATGCAATAACTGAATAATTGTTTAAAATATAACTCATTTATTTCTCCTTTTAATTTACATAGTTAATGTTGGTAGTAGTTTTAAGTTTACATAAATTTTGTATGTTTTTCTTATTTTTATGAATATTTCAAATCTATGTAAGCAAAATATAGCACAAGTTTATCTTATTTTTTTTTTCAGTTTAACAAGGATTTGTAATTTATTTTATAAAATACTTTAGGTCCATTTATAATTCAAAATTAGTATTGATATTTATATATATATATATGGGGAGGATCCAATGAGTACACTCCTTAAAATGAGTACACTCCTTAAAATGAGTCCACTTCTTAAAATATATATTAATTAAATAATAAAATAATT